TCCCACACCCCCACACCCTCTCCCAACCCCTGCAGCCCCACCCCGACCCCTCCGCAGTCTCCAGCCCACCCTCCCGTCTCTGACTCCATCCGCACACCGGGCACCCAAGTGAGCTAGGGCGCTGTGGAGTCCATCCAGGGGCTACAGACCCCTGTGCTGACTCCTGCCTTGGTGGGGGACAGGCAGTCCCGGTTGACGCCAGGACAGGGAGGTGCTGCTGCTAAGTGGACCTGCGGGGGGCTCCTTACGCTGCTAAATGGCCCCGGATGGGTTCATTCAAACTTGAAATCCTCCTGCCACAGCCACCAGAGCTCTGGGGTTGCAAGTGCATTGCGTGACACCAGGCTCGCCTGTGTGCACAAATAAAGGTTTTTTGGGGGTACCAGGGATGTAACTCAGGGCCTTCTGCTTTCGAGGCAGGCGGTGGAACCACTAGCTAAACCCGCAGCCCTAATAAAGTTTATTTTTATCATAACTGGAGGTCTTTCCCCCATCTTTCTTCCTCTGGGAAGCAAACCATATCTGCTCACTTCCAGGGTTCAGCCCTGCAGGCTCTGCTGTCCCTCGGGGGCGAACAGTGCATTATGGGGCCTCTTCCCTCTGTCGTCTTGGAGATGGGGGAATGGGGTGTCCCTGCTCTTCCTGGGGCCTGGGGTGTCCCTAGGTGCCCTGCCTGCCTCTACCTCCTTTCAGCAGGCTTCCTGCCTCCCTCTGGGCCCCAAGCAGGGTGGTGGAGCTCAGGACCCCAGCAGGGGTGTGTGTTAGGAGAAGAGCAGCAGCCCCGACTGCACCCCAAGGCGGCTGTCATATTGTCCTAAGGTCTCCCAGGACACCCAGGGAGGGGAGGGGGTGAGCAGACACCTGACCAAGATGCAGCCCACGCAGAATGACACGCAGCGCCCCCTGCTGGCTTCTGTGAGTGGCCGCGGCTGCTGGGACCCTCTGGCGCCTGAAGGGAGGGGCCTCTCATCTTCCGGGAGAAATGAAAGCCCATGCTGATGACCTCACTTCCGCAAGCCTCTAGTGCCCAGCGAACCATTTCCGGAGCTCCCCAAGTCACCAGGCAAATCCAAGTCTGCCACACACAGGTCCTTCCTAGCGCCTCCAGGATCTAGGAAGGGCTGAGCTTCTCTGCAGCCCCTCCCAGCTATGCCTGCTCCTTTCCGGGATCCCCAGTGGGGACATCGGCTGTCCACACAGGCCATCTCCAAACCTGTTCTGGCTGCCTGGTCCCGGGCCCCCTTGGGTGGTGGTGGTGGTCAGGCCCCTAGCCCTGGTCCCCGCGGGAGGGCACCATCACACGTTTGGAGACCCATGCAGGTTCCCAGAGTCACCTAAATGGGGGCACCGCTGGCCTGAGCTTGCTGCGTCTCCCGTGTCCTATGGCGAGCCATTATGGTGAGCCTTGACACAGGCCTAGCCATGATTGAACTTTGAGTCACCTCGCTGGCACGGATGTGCTCTCGCCCATAGCCATGGGCGAGTTCAGCTAGTAGCAGATGTAACCCATAATGGTGGTTGTTTCCCTCTGGAATGTGTGGGCGGTACCCTCGCTCCCTCGCTCCCTCGCTCCCGTGCAGCCCTCGCTTCCATGCAGCTGGAGAGTATAAAAAGGAAAGGTTCTGTAATAAAGCAAGCAAGCAACATAAGAAGAAAGGTGTCTCCTGTCTCTCTGTCCTCATCCTTTCAGGTTTAGGACCTGCTGGCAGGATCCTGACGTCGCGGCTCGCGACAAGTGGCGCCCGAACAGGGACCTGAAAGAATGAGGATATGCAATCCCGGACCCAGGTCGAAGGTAGCGACGGTGCTCCGGAGGACTGACCGCTGCGCCTGATCCACGCAGTAAGTCTACCGTTCACTTCATGAACTCCGGACCCAGGTCGAAGGTAGCGACGGTGCTCCGGAGGAAGGTAAAAAGAAAGTAAAAATAAAATAAAATAAAAAATAAAAAAA